GGTTGTACAAATGAAATCCTGTTGCCTAATGCGGGATATCATTTGTACAACTGCCATGAACTAACCATTCCCCTGCGGACCATAGAAGAATCTCGTGCAGGTGGAACATACAGGGAGACACGCAACATGGCAAGGAATGAACAAGAAGGTTCATCATCCTCAACACCCATGCAGATGTATGAGGCAGGTTGGGAGCCAACTGGGGATGCACCCGGATGGACCCAGGCTCCACGCCACAGCATCGGAGTCTCAAGCTGGGCAAGTGCTAGTGAGGACCGACGGCATGCCCCTCATAATATACAGTGGGGAGACATGAGCAATCAACCCCCCAGATCGAGTGGTATGACTCCATCTCTAGGTGAATGGCGCTCAAGTTCCTCTCGTTGGGACTTGGGTGAAATCACCAGGAGAATGAATACCCTTGATATGCAGACGGGAGAGATCTAATACAACCTCGAGGAACACATTACACAATGCAAGAATGGCAACAGACTGCTGATGCTCAGTTCACCAACATCAACAACTTGATGCAGCAACAGCATGATGACCTTCAAGCGTACTTTCGCTTTCAGGGGTTCAATTCTTACCAAGGACCCTGAGCGAAAGCCAAGCTTGGGGGGAGACATCTTTCCCCCACTAATGTAACTTGTATCACATTGCATATTTTCCTTTCCAATTGCATGTTTGCTTTCCGATTGCATTTTATAAACTTGAAAACAACATAAAAATTTGCAAAATAGAAAATACCAAAAAGATAGGTTAGGTTTTGTCATGCTAGTTAAGACAAACTAGTTCTCTTTGTTGAAATGTTGAATAATTGCTCTGTTTATATCTCTCATGTATGGGTTCATAGGTAAGTGCTCTCTCAAAAATTAAATATGAGTAGCCAACAATTATCTGGGAACCTGAGGTAAATGAGCTGCATTTGCTAATCTAAGTCTAAGTTGTTGCGAGATATGAGATAGTAAATAAGAGTTGTTATGATCCTAGTCTAAGTTTGACTTGAATTCCGGATGCTTTATTTTTCAAAATCATAAATTTAAAATGTTCCTCATTTTATACAAATTCCTACCTGAGCTAAAAATGTGCCATCACGATTTAAACCATATACATTTTGGTTACTTGCTATTCCATTGAACTTTGTCAAATTCTTGTGACTTGTGTAGATACTTCTCATGCTCTATAATCAAGATCATACACCCACATATATGCACATGCTAAACTCCTATACAGGGAGCTAGCAATTATCCATTCCATTTCCATACTACCACCAAAATAAATTCTCCATGCTTTTATGTGCTTTCTTCTCCTGAAAAGAAAATCCTTTCTGAAAAAAAGAAGAAGAAGGAGGAAAAGGCATGGTTATGAAAAAAAATTAATAAAGTTATGCTCCAGAAAGCATGAGCATGATATAGAAAAAAAAGAGAAAATAGCCATGCCCTCTCCTCATTAATAAAAGAAGGATTTTTGGGAGAAGGAAGTAAGCACGAAGGAGAAGCGTTTTCTTTATTTTTCTTCATATTACATTTCCACCATATATCACACACACACACACTTTGCACGATCTTGATCTTAAGTATGTTTAGTCATCGACTTTATTCTGAGTTTTTAACTTAGTAATAAATGTGAATGCAAGTATGCCATGTTTGATCCCTACCGAGCCCCACATATCAATCCTTAGAGTAGGAATAAAAAGGCAAATGGTGAGGAATTCATTTTGATACACTTGGAGAGACTGAGTGAATCATTTGAGGAACTTGGTTTTCTTTTGCAAAATCATTTGAAAACTTCCAGAATAAAAGTTGAATAAAGATTGGGTGATTAGTGCTCTAATTGTTGTTCAGTCTCTCAACCGACCAAGGCAAGGAGAAGTAGTGTCTCGGGGGAATCAGGGGTAAGGGTAAGCCACCGTGCCAAATATTATTTAATTTGAGAGAGAGTACATATATCTTGCACCTGTATCTTTGAGATATATAATATAGTAGCAACTCCTGATCTACAATCAAGTCTTTGTTTCCTTTCGTCCTTTACTCGGGACGAGCAAAGGTTTAAGCTTGGAGGGGTTTTGTTAACGGTCGTTAGCAATTAGTTTTGACCGTCAATATTACCAAAATAGAGGAGAACTAGTTATGCTTGCAATGCATATTTATGTTAGAATAATAATATTCCACTAGTTTTAGGTTTACTAACTTTTTGCAGAGAATAACTATAAAGTGGAGGAGAATCGACATCAAATCAGACGATAAAACAATTGGACGATGTTGAGAATCAGACTTATGCATGAATGGGCCAAGAACTCAGAATTGACACGATGAACTGGGCCAAAATTCACAAGTCTGTGTATGGGAGCAATAGAGGAGGCCACCTGCCGAGTTTGGGCCAGGTCGGCCTAGCCCATGGTTCGGCCGAACCTGCCGTGGCGCCGATGGATGCAGGGTTTTGATGGACGGCTAGGATTGATTCCCAATGACGGTTGGAGGGTATTACCGACCTTTCCAACCGTCATAACCGTCATTACCTGCCTATAAAAGGAGCTCCTCTTCTCACTTCACTCACACACTCCAAGCAAAGCTCTCTCATACTCTCAAATTTAGTTTAGTGTTCTTAAGCTAGTGGAGTAGGAATAGAATAGAAATCGGAGTCCGGAAGCCTTCGGAAGAGTTCGGGTATGGCTCTAATAGCTTTCCTTTCCTCTTTTGTAAGCTTTGTACTTTTATTAGAATACTCTTCTTTATACATTTATGGTATTGAAATACTTTCCGAGTATATGAATGCCAACTTTACATTATGTTCATGTTATACTGATTAATTATACTCCTAGCTTATCTAGGAGATGCATAAGTACAGGTATAATGTTTGCTTATGCAATTACTCTATGTCATTATGATAATATTAGAGTAGTATCTGGTAATTTAGACGTGGTGTCTAGATTACGGGATATCATTATTTGGGGTTATATGCTGCGGATGAGAGGTGGGCCGCTGATGGAGACAGCTCAGTATAGGTATTCCTCCGCGCGTGTATATTGTCATAAGTTAATTTCCTGGGGAGGGTACTCCTCCGTATTTAGCCCCGGTTGTATGGTCATGACGGGTTGTCGTAAGGAACTCGACAACCAGGTGTGGCTTCTCGAAGTACTAGGAGGGCATCGGAAAGAGGGTATTAGCTAGTTAATCATATAGCTAGAATGTATGTATACTATGTATATTAGAAGTATAGGAATAGATTCTCTTTTTATTTTATTTCCACTTAGCTTAGATATTTTAGTATGAAAATGAGTAGCTCCCTGCTTGTGTGTTACTCTACCCTTGATTTATCTTAACCCCTGCTTAGACTATGATTATTACAAGTAACATATAAATTATTAGTCATGTTCTCTCTACTATAATTTTCCCACGGGATTAAATAAATACGATACCCTTGGAATACTCTCGAGTGAAATTCTACAATGATATATCTGTGCGCTTGCGGATGAACTCTGTAACCATAATATACCAGGAGTATTTCTACGCTATTGCTGGGAATTATATTTCTAGTAATGTCGTTAAGAAATACCAACAAGCGCGAAGACCAATATCGTAGTCGGGTCTTGACCACTTGTAAAGGTGGTAGGGCCGCTACGTCCCGTGGCCATGCGAAGATCAACGATGTAGTCGGATCTCAACCGCTAGTAAGGTTGGTAGGACCATTACAAACTTTGGTCACGCAAAAACCAATTGTAGTCGAATCTTGATCACTTGTAGAGACGTTAAGACTACTACGACCTCTGGTGCAGCAAAGACTAGGTGTTGTAAGGTCTAGACTACATGTAAAGATGGTAAGACTACTACGACGGTAAGACTATTACATGTAGAGGCAATAAGACTACTACGACCTCTGGTGCAGCAAAGACCGGGTGTAGTAAGGTCTAGACTACATGTAAAGATGGTAAGACTACTACGATCTCTTGTCCTGCGAAGACGAGGTGCAGTAGGGTCTCGACTACACGTAGAGACGGTAAGACTGCTACAACCTCTTGTCCTATGAAGACCATGGTGTAGTCAGGTCTCAACCATTTTAGAGATGCTCGGGTTGGTTAATAAATGTTTGGGCAAAGAATGATCTAAAGTGAAACTTTAACAATAAAATATGGTCCATACTATAATTTACTTTAAAAAAAAGTTGTTTAGTAATGTTAAAGAGTGGAAGATTCCAGAGTTTGTAAATCTTATTGCATTGGAGTGTTTATACTTAAAAAAATATTTTTGAACAGGTATATTTATATGCTCTGTATCGATCGTATAAGTTATTGATTCTAATTAATAGCTTTCCGGCGGTACATATAATTGCTGGGTACTTTTTTTTTATGGAAATTGGGTTGTTTTAAGTGAGAACTGAAGAAATAAGGCGCCCATAGACCAAGCGCACGAGCTTTGTGTGGACCGGATCATCGGATACGGCTAAGCTAGAGGTGGGGTCCTGCCCCTACTCTACTCCTAGAGAAGGCGGAATTGCGGTTGCGGGCGGGCTACGGAAACCGGCAGAGCCGTCCTTAACAAATCGGACGACCGGGATGAGGCCGTAGTCGTAGTGGGGGTGGGTCGCATGGCAGCCGGAATCGCGGGCTTGCAGAACCGTTGGTAGCAAATCGGACGGCCACAATCGAAGGTCATTTAGTCGTACAGTAAAAAAGAAATACTCGTACTAGAGTAAAAAATACCACACCCGGCATAAGGCTTACGCACAGCGAGAGATCTGAACCGTTGGAGTAGATACGAATGGTAGAGATTGTAAATGGTGAGGCCCACATTGAGCCAGCACAGCAACGTTATAAAAACGGAGAGGAGGAGAGGAGGTGGGGGCTTCCATCTTGTTGATCGCCTTCGTCTTCCACCTCACCTCCGGGCTCCGGCCCTCGTACCAGGCGAGGCGAGTGAGGCGCGCGCCGAAAGGTGAGGAAATCTCTCCCTCCTCCTCCTCCTCTCTTGTCAAGTTGGATTCGTTTCTCTCTTCTCCTCGACCTCGCTCTCTCTCTCTGTGTGCGCTGCTCTGCTCTGCTCTGCTCTGCCTGTGATTCGATTCGTTTCGTGGTGATTAGATCGCTAGCGCGTCCGTTCGTGTACTGTAACATCGATAGCTCTCACTGATGGTGCGATGGGGTGTGTGCGTGCGTGCGTGCGTGCGTGCGTCTGAGGTTGGAGGGTTACTCATCGATCTGGTAGCGAGCGTGTGTGCGTGCGTCTGAGGTTGAAGGGTTGCTCACCGATCTGGTAGCGTGCGTGCGTTCGTTCGTTCGTTTGTTTTTTGGGACCCTTTTGGTTTCTGGGCGATGGTTAGTTTTCTTCTCGTCTCGGGGTTTTGGTGATTTTGCTGCTGCTATGCTACTATAGTCCATGGTGATCTCTGTTCGCGCTTCTTCCGTGCGGACGAGCACCGCGAGTCCATGGTGATCTCTGTTCGCGCTTCTTCCGTGCTTGCTTGGAACGTTCTCGACGAGTACGTCTTGCTCGCTCCTTGGTTCTATCGCTTTGCACGTCGTTTTCGTGTAATAGTACGTTCCGTGTCAGTTCAGTTCTAGTACTACTTGTAGCTAGTCAGCGCGGTGCATTGCATCTCTCTCTCTGCTCTGCTCTGTTCTTTCGTGTCTGCTCGCCAATGGCTGCCTCGTTGTCTTTCTGATCGGTGGTTTTCTTGGTGAAGGAGGAGGCTACCGAGCACACCCGACTCCATGGGTCATCTCGGTTTTGCCGGACTTGTTGTCGATCGTTCGATCGATTGGTGATTTTGTTCATCCGGCATATATTCTCTCTGTTTTTGTTTTCTGATTCTGATGATATGCGCAGTTGCGCACACGAGCGTGCGTCTCCTATTTTCTGCTCTTCCGTGATCATGGCATTACTAATTGATGCATGTAATGCAATTGCAGGGCATGGCAAGCACAATGAAGAAGAAGGTGGAGTCCAAGCATAACAATAAGGACATGAAGATGGCGTTGAAGCATGATATACCACTTGAGGTTCTGCAAGAAGGAATCCCAACTGTTCTTCGTGGCGCGCCTGACAACGAGGTTCAGGCTGGGAGAGTCATAAGAGTTTCTAGCGCCACCGGCTTGAAAGAGGCTCTTCAGCAGGCGGGGCCGGGAGCGCTTCTCAAGGTCTATGTCGTCAGCTACATACCTCCGTCCGCCGCGGCTCAGATCCGTGAGATGACCACCACTACAAGAGGAGGCAAGGAGGCTCAAGAGAAGAAGCCGTCCGCCAGCGCCACCATTGCCAAGGCCCAGCCCCAGCCGCACGACCAAGAGACGGCCACCGCCCCGCCCCAGCCGACCAAGTCGTTGTCCGCGCCCTTCAAATTCAAGGTCAAGCTCAGATCGCACTCCAAGGCCCCGCCCCAGCCGATCAAGAGAAGAAACCTACCACTGTCAAGTTCAAGGTTGATAGTCCGAATCCGAATGCCTCCATCGGCGAGGAGGAGGAGAAGGGCAACATCGCCGGTTTCATCATTGCCAATATTCACGTTCTTGAAGCTAAAGAGATGGCTATGGTGGCCATGGAAGGCGACATGTCCGTCCTTGAAGAGCTCCAGAAGAGAATCTCATCCTCTCCAGATCTCAGCCCGCATGATGTGCAAGTGCAACTACCAACAACCGCTAACAATCTTGGAACCGATAAAGGGAAAAACATTCTGTTCTCTCTGAAGAAACGATATCTGTTAGCTCATCTGCAAGCAGGTAAGATCTCCATCTGTTCGTATCCGCATGTACAATGTAGAATCGATTATTGCTTGCTTGCTCGATCTGTTCGTATTGGTCTATTTGCTTTTCTTTTATAAATCTTGTGAATTCCCATTAATTAAGATTGCTTATTGTTGCATACACGTGTTCCTATTGTATTACGTTCGATTGAATTATCAGCATTTGCAAATGTTGTGCATCGATCATATATGTGCACTGCACACGGTCCTCTTCTTAATTACATCATCAGTTTCTTAGATCTTCATCCACCCTAGCCTAGTGGCTGATAAAGCTATCTGATCCTGCCAACTGAGATTATGATGATTGTTTTAATTTGTGAATACCTACCAAGCCGTCCGTCCCATGATCTATTGTCCCCTGATCCATTAATTAATTTGTATGTTTTAAGTTTTAGATAGAAGACGCCCATCTGAGAGATAATTAACTAGTTAGTTAGTTAATGCTTTGATATAACTAACCATGCCGCCCACTGTTTTCTTTTTCCTTCTTCTTGAGCGCACCTTACTATCTTAGAACAAAAAACTCAACCAGATTGTGATTGAAAATTTGAGCCCCAAACTGCTCAATTTATACTAGTACCATACTATCTTAGAAAAAAAAAACTCAAGCAGGTTGTGATTGAAAATTTGAACCCCAAACTGCTCAATTTATACTAGTACTGAATATGATTGAGCAGAACGTAGTTAATACTCATCGAAGTTACAAGTTACTAGTGTTAGTACTCTACTCCATATTGTTGTCTCATCATTTTGTTGTCTGATCAATTTCGTACGGGAATTCTCTGTTGGGCAGGGCTAGGCTGGAGTACAAAAGTAAATTATACTACTCCCATTATTTCTACCTGCAAACTCTCTGTTGATCATTTTGGAGTATTATTTATGCTTGCATGCAGGCCACAGCAGGATGGCCACAAACATCCTTAAATACGTGGATCTTGCCCAGTACAATTCTTTCATAGAAGAAGCCGACCCTGAAAAGGCGTCAAAAGCTATGGCTGTCAAAGCTCAATATGAATTAGAATATCCTGGAAAGCACAGCCCAGGATGGATGGCTAAGCAAGTGTTGGGTGTTGCAGCCCATATGTATTGGGAGAAAAAGAAGGCCAAGATAATGGGCGAGGATGGCTTATGGGCTGGTGACAAAACGACTGTTCTGACCAGGCTGAAGAAGCAAGAGCAAAAAGATGGGAAGACTCGCCAACAAGAGGTCGCTCATAGGCGCCGCCCTAGCAGGTAAGCCATTGCCATTGCCACTACTACTGTATCTCGATCTATTTACTACTCACTCCGCTATTATATATGGTAATTGAGTTGCTCAGTCAATTAACTAATTGTGTTTTTAATTTAGGTTAATCGATCTGACAATTTAATTCTTACTACTTACTCCTTCACACAATTTTCTTTTTTTTTAGACTTCCGTGCAGTCTGAAGAGCCTGCCCGAAGGGCGAGAGGGGCCAACCCAGTTAAGTCTGTCCAGAAGCAAAGAGGAGTGGGCTAGAGGCCAACCAGTCTAGCTAGAAGAATAGAAGAGTGGGCGAGAGGGGCCAACCGGTCAACCAGAAGCAAAGAGGAGTCGTGTTGACGTCCCGCGCCATTACATCAGTAGAGTAGGAGTAGGAGTATGTACTGTTTGCAGTAGTACTGTTGCCTCTTACTTGTGTCAGCTTTTTTCTTTCTTTCGACTGATGTTTTGCTTCAAGTTACTAAGTTTGTCAGATTTCTGCTTCTGCTTACCGTCCGTAATTTCTTTCTTATGTTTGCTTTGCGTTGTGCCATGTGCAATTTGGTACTACTATTTCACACAGTTTTCTACTACTAGGCTGTGTTTAGATTGGCCCAAAGTTTAGAATTTGGTTGAAATTGGAGACGATGTGACTGAAAAGTTACGCGTGTATGAAAGGTTTGATGTGATGGAAAGTTAAAACTTGGAAGTTTGGAAAAAAAACCTTGGAACTAAACACTACTAGTAGTTCTCTGACTTTATGCTCAGAAATTGCAGTACAAGTAACTTCGGCTGTGAATTAAAACCGCCTAGCAGGCACTTTCTTTCACACACTGACTGAACCCAACATTGCCCTGATCATCTGGGCCTCCTCTAGGTTATTCCTCACATATTCCTAAAGCTTCAGGTGGGTTGGGTACTTGGGTGGAAATGCATTCCCATTGTCATGTGCTGAACTGAAAATCACAGCACCAGGTCTTAGAACTATTATATCCTGCTCTATTGATGCTGGAGGAAAATGTGCATAAGAAGAATCAAGATCGTACACATTGCTGGTTAATTGATCAAATTGTCCTGGTTATGGATTATAGATTCCATTTTTGCTGTCAGAAGGTGGCATCTAGTTAGAATCCACTCTCTTGTTAATTTCCCACTGGCCATTGTTGTTTCTTATAATTCCCAACTTAAAGACGGCCACCTGTATCTTCAAACAACGGTTCTTCTCCCTTAATCTCGTGCTTTGCAATTCCTATGTTGGGCTTGGACCCTATATCTGTGGGCATACAGAGAGCGCCATCAGATAAATGCCACTGCGTCCCTTCAGTTCTGCTCCGCCTTTGACTCTCCAGGAACCATCATGCTTGATATCAATTTCAGATGAATCATCTCCACAACTTTGGATCTATAGATGACTAAGGCCTGGTTTAGTTCCTAACTTTTTCTTCAAACTTCCAACTTTTCCATCACATCAAAACTTTCATACACACACAAACTTTCAACTTTTCCGTCACATCGTTTCAATTTCAATCAAACTTCCAATTTTGACGTGAGCAGCGGATGATGCATGATGGAATTCATTTCCACTATAAACTCACCAAAGCGCTATGATGGATCAATGATTATGTTGTCCAGAGAGTAGTTTTTCAGGCAAGTTGGGCACTGCCACTGCAGACAAGAAAACAATATAGTTTTGTTTGACAAGGAAAAAAAAGAGAAACATGCTAATTGATGTGAGGAAGATAATCAAACCCATCTTGAACGTTGATTAAGTTCCACAAAAGCTTCTAATTCAAAACAACCCATGTGAACACAGGGTTTGAACTGGCCAGTTATCTTGATCCTTGAACCAGTCATCTGTCAAGATAAAATATCTTTTTCGTAAGACATTTTACAGATATCATAACTCATACGAATACTCCATAGCTAACTTTGCGTGAAGGAGTGTCAGCCATACTATGAATCAAACATCATATGGTTAGCAAAATAGGATCACAAAAACATCCAGGTTAAAAATTATAATGAACATGTATAGATGATAATTCAAGCAAGAGTAAATTTAGACCTATGATGTCAGGGATGCAACATAGAAAATAACTTCAGACTGCATAAACCAACACTCCAATGAACAAGAGAAATATCATTAAGGATCTAAAGCATTCTCAAAAATAGTCACAGTACTTACAGGGAATCGGAGATTTACAGAGACAGAATCAGCTACAACTTCAATATCACTGTCACTGTCGGCATTACCCGTCTCAGTTCCACCACCAACACAGCAACACACACGAACAAGGGCATCATTGAAATTCTCGCCATCTTGTTCCTTTGGTACCAAAGATAGAACCTGTTCGCCATAAATAAAGCAGGGTACCTAAATCTTAAAAGTTGCCATGCTGGATGGTTCCTCCCAGCTACCAGCTTGTGCGTAGCAGATCTTGAGAGAACCAGCCAGTTTCTGGCCTGATTCAACAAGCTTCATACAGAGGTAAAAAAGGGAAATGAAGTAAAAAAACAATAGGCATTTGTTGCGAAAAAGGGAGGTATCAGGATGAAATTACCAAGAGATATCCTAGGTGCTTGCTAATCCAAAACAATCTTTATCTGCCAACATTTATCTCTGAGACTGACTAATATTTTGGTTCACAATGTCAGTACAAATGCACAGAACATCTCCAACAGCCTCCATATCCCACTCTCTAAGTTAAATTTTGGTAATTTTGAAGCAAAATCATACTCCAGCAGACTAGCCAACCGGATGGCTTTGGCTAAACTCTTCTTCGCGCTGGCCAAATTTGGCCAGCTAAAATAGCCTAGCCAGATTGTGGGTCCCACGCCTTTCCCCTATACCATCCCATCCCGTACTCTCTCTCTCTTGGCGCCAGATCGAGCGCGCCCTCTGCCATGCCGTCCCTCCACTCTACCACCCTTCGCCGGTGCCGCCCCTCCATGCCGCCGCCCCTCCGCGTTGCCCCTCCGCTGGCGCCGCCCATCCGCACCGCCCCTCTGCCGGCGCCACCCCTCCATGCCGCCCCTCCGTCATCGTCGTTGGTGGCGCCATGTGTGCTCGATGATGGGAAGGAAGGAAAGGGGAAAAGAAGGAAAGAGAAGGAAGAAGGGGAAAGAGAGGAAGAAGAGGAGTGGAGGTTGACATGTAAGTCCGTTGTTATTTTGGAGAGGATTAATAGAGTCTGTTGGAGTAACCATATAGTTTGACCAGCCAAATTAGATAGAGAGTTGGCCATATAGATGTTTAGAGAGTCTAATTTAGAGAGTATGTTAGAGATGCTCTCAAGTAGTTACCTGTTCTATAGATCTCCTCTTGGTAATCCTTACTACCAAACAGAATGTGCGAGAGTCACTTCTAGATAGAACAATCTTATTAGACCCCTCTCTCACATATGCCGTTAACTGGATACAAGAAAAATGGGCAGGGAGAAAATATAAATACCCAAATAGAAAAAGGAGCCTTCACGTGCGCTCTCATGGCCTAAAAATTATCATATTAATTAGAGAAAAAGAAAAACAGAGTCCATATAGAAATACAATTTAGAAATAGTTGAAATTCAGAATTAAAAATAAGGAATATTAGAAGATGGGACTTGAGCCATATCGAAATACAATTTATAAATAACTGAAAATCGGAATTGAAAAATAAATAATATTAGAAGAAGAGTATAGAGTCCATATAGAAATACAATTAAGAAATAATGTAAATTCGGAATTAAAAATAAGGAATAATAGAAGTAGAGTATAGAGTCCATATAGGAATTTAAAACTAACTAAAATTCGGAATAAACATAATAAAATTAAAAGTAGAGTTTAGAGTCCGTATAAAAATACAATTTACAAATAACTAAAATTCGAAATTAAAAAAAACATGGGAATAAGAGTCTAAAGTCAATATAGGAATACAATTTAGAAGTAACTGAAATTCGAAATTAAAAATTAAAGAATATTGAAAGATAAGTTTGGAGTCCACATAAAAATACAATTAGAAATAATAAAAATTCAGAATTAAAAATAAATAATATTGAAAGAAGAGCCTAGAATCTATATAGAAATACAATTTATAGATAACGAAAATTTGGAATTAAAAATAATAATAAATATTGAAAAACGAGCCTAGAGAGTCCATATAGGAATATAATTTAGAAATAACTAAAATTTGATATGAAAAATAATTAATAACTAACACTTATATAAAATACAATATGAATATTACACATTAGTAGTTTCGTAAAGTTAGTACAAAATTTAAAATTATATTGTTATTTTAATATATTTGAATAGTACAATGAGAAAACATATATGAGAGAAAATATAATGTTGCTAGCTGCGTAATCTGCGCGGGCCAACATGCTAGTTGTGAATAAGACAATAACATGCTTTATCACAATAAAATACTACTGGATCATCATCTCTACCATTCATCCCCTAACTGTTGTGTGGGACTGTGGGTTGCCTGTTGACAACCCTAATAAGTATACTGAAGAAAAGAAAAAACAATTGCCAACATGAACAGTTCAGAATCTAAAGTAGTGAAAAAATAAGTTTTCCAACACCAGATTGCGTCACGTCATCAGATTAAAACTGTCTGTTGAATGCACCAGGAATTGAATCGCTGCCGTCAGATGCAAAGTTAAGGTGAGTGAAAAACAAACGGTTTTGCTACTTATCTGTCGACAGTTTTCAGCGCTAAACACTGTCGATTTGTTGGCTGTTTGATCCGGCTCCAAGATTCGTGCTGGGATGTTTCGTTATTGGATCCAAATCAACTTTGTCTGCCCGTTTGGCGCTGTTCCCAATTTTCAAACAGTATAATGCCGCGTCAGTTCTGTTCTTTTCCAGAAATTTCTCGTTGGGGAGGAGACCCAAGCGGAGGCTGAGGCGGAGACCCCGCTCTCGGCGATTTTCTCGACGCCGGCGAAGACCCGGTCTCGGCGATTTTCTCGCCGCCGGCGGAGAACCTCTCGGTGCCGGTGGTTTTTCTTGCTTGCGTGCTTCTCTTCATCCGCTCGTGTCCATTGTGCTCGTAGCTGATCTGCTTTTACCTTGCTCTCTTCTAAAATTTCCAGGTGATTTTTTCGCTTCATTTCTCGATTTGGTTTCATTTTTTGGGGCATTTTAGATGTTGTGTTTAGATCCCGCATGGTGTCTGCCATATAAATTGTTTTAGGTTTGGTGGTTGTTCTTCTGCTAGATTTTTAGGGGGTTTGATTCGTTGATTTCATCCCGCATGTATAGTCGTGGATTTGGGATGGAGACACTAATGCTTTCTCTTCATGGCGAACCGTGATATATGTGTGCTCTTGCTTAGTTATGTTTACTAGATCTGGTGGTCTACTGTATCGTGCTAATTTGTTTTATTGCAGATCTGCACAGTACATATTTGCATAGTTTACATACATACCATTTGGATTGATCCCTAGTATGTATGTTCTGCGTGTTGCATCTGAAGCATTTGTTCAGAAAAGTTTCAGATATGCATTTGGGTTGATCCCCCCTAGTATGTTATGTGACTTATGTAGTTATGTGTTTCAAGCATTTTTCGTTTGAGTGATGCATGGACAGATCTAGCAGTATGTTCTTGACC